TATATATATATATATATATATATATATATATATATATATATATATATATATATATATATATATATATATGCATACATATATATTTATTTATATATATATTTATTTATATATATATATATATATAAAACGTTAGCGATTTTATCACGAAAAAAAAGGATAATAAAATCGTGAGCAAGTTGCCGATCACGGATGCCGCGGGTTGAAATGATCCATCCGTGCTAGTAGACTATTCTGAATTCTAGCTATATATAGAAACAGCAACAATAATTAGGGTAAATTTGACCTTGCATGATGCATAAACTAATCATCTAAGATAAATCTTGGCCTACAAAGCACTAGGCTTATTCAATGAAAATAGATTATCGTTTCTTTAAAATACGTAATTATAATAAAAGTTACATTATGTCAAATAAGGTCTAAAATATAAAATTTTAGATAAATAATTATGACATAACAATTTAAATTATTGATTAGTTTTCTCTAAATGATTATGAAGATTATGGTTCAGCGACAAATGTGAAGACTGTCCTGTGTTGCAGGCAGATGATGATGACACAGGACGTATCATTTGGGATGGAGAAGAAGAGGGTAGTATATACCAAATTTAAAACTATTACATAATTAGATAAATAATAAGAGTGTTCGAATATAAATATGCTGTTATAATCGTATAAAGCATAGCCCTTCAACGAAAAGTTCCCTTTTCAATTCAATTATATGAAAAAAAAAACATTGTCTGGTGGGACTCGAACCTGCAACCTTTTGCTGTCAGGGTGAGTGCCATATCCATATAGACTACGATGACCTATAGGATGTACGTGCAGATTTAATCCCTAGGCATTTTCTTATTTCTTAAACCTAACTATGTATTATTCAACCATACTACTCTCTTATTTCTTTCTATTATATTATGTACACATAAATAAATAAATCCTAATATATATTTTTAATTAATTTATAAAGTATTTTAGAAAAATGAATTATTAAATAAGTGATTAAAAAACGAAATAAGAAATCATTTTTACACATTAAAAATTAACGTAGGCCTATTTACAAGCGTTTCAATAAGTAGATGTTTAATGCGTACATCGATGCACAACAATGCATAAAAATACAGAACAAAATTACAAGTGTTATCTACACGCGCAAATTTTTCAAACAGACGGAAAAGAACGTTCATCATCATAGCTGAACAAACAACAAAACCGCATACACATACACATACACATACATACTAGACATGACTATGTTCGTACGATCATTTATACGTACTTCCAGGTAAGACATTTGTTTTAGTTTGTTTTCTAAACATTAATTATTCTTTATTTCATATAAAGAGATTTTGGAAATCACTTAAGGTCCGATTCGATTTCGAATTATGAAAAGTGTAGTCAAAGGTCAGAACAGCATTTCTGGTCATTTTTAGTAAATGTTTCTATTATTCTAAATAGAAACACGAATGTTCCTAACACATTGACACCATAACTAACTCTCTACCACCAGTGGTTGTGGAGATATGAAGATTCTATGGCTATGACCTTCAAACATGTCAAAGGTCAGAAACGGCTTTTCCGGTCGTATTTTAGTTAAATATTCTATTAGAGCAAATAGAAACATGGCATGAGTATTCCGAACAAATTGGCAACAAAATTAACTCTCTACCACCAGTGGTTGTGGAGATAATAAGGACTCAATAACTATGACATTTGAAATATGTCAAAGGTCAAAAACAGCATTTCCGGTCATTTTCTAGCACATTAGAAAAAATAGAAAAATTAATGTTCTGAACATATTGACACCACAAATAACTCTTTACCACCAGTGGTTGCGGAGATATAATGACCCTATTGCTAGGACCTTGAAACGTGTCAAAGGTTAGAAACAGCATTTTCGGTCATTTTTTAGCAAAATATTCTATTAGAGTAAATAGAAACATGAATGTTCGGAACAAATAGGCACCAAAATTAACTCTCTACCACCAGCGGTTACGGAGCTATGACGACCATATAGCTATGACCTTCGACCATGACCTTTTGACCTTTCGCCACATTTTGAAAATGTGTTACCAAGCCAAAAATGATTCTTAGACCACCCTAAACCACTTTCTGAAGTCAATTTCTCTGGACCTCAAAGTGCATACAAAACCTGGTCTGGTACTAGGGTATTATTACTAACTGATGATTTTTTAACATTTTTCCAAAATTCACAGTCATTATTTCCTCCTCATGATTTAGCAATAGCATTGGCCTTTAGTGATTCTTCGTTTCATTTACACCACTTAAGAGCCAGTTTAAACCTGCATCTAGAAATTTTCATTTCATTGAACTTAGGTTTTTCCATTCAAACGCCACGTGTGAAAAGCCTCTCTAGCAATAACATGAAGATCACAAACATGCTCATTCCAGCCAGGTATGTTAAACAATGTAGACATTTGGTCGGATCTGGAGCTAAAACAAATATCAGATGCCTTAGAAAGACTACTAATAATGTTACTATATACGTTATCAATTTCATTTAAATGGTCTTCACTTATACAACAAATATCAGAACATACGAAAGCTTCACACTGCTAACCTTTACGTTGTTTAATAAACAGTATGATAATTCACTGTACAAATTTAGGTTAGCATTAGATATTGTCCCAACATACAAATGTATCTTTTATATTACAGTTTTTATTACCTTCGAAAATCTCACTACATATTATTTCGTGTGAGAACTGAATGGGGAAATGGTCAGACCCAATCATATTATACACAACAGAAACATCATATATATTTTCGTGAGCACCATGTGTGGCAAGGACATGATCCAGCCAGCTAGCCGTTCCATGTGCTTCACCTAAATAAGTAAACGTATTAGAGTGAATACCTAAGAATTAAAGATCACTAATATGGATATCATATTCATTTCAGAAACTGATCAAATCGTTTCTTTACGTCAGCAATAAAATCACCTGTAACTATCACCCTCGACCCTTCCATGTGCTTCATTTAAATAAGTAAACGTATTATAGTGAATACCTAAGAATTAAAGATCACTAATATGGATATCATATTCATTTCAGAAACTGATCAATTCTCTGCCAAATCGTTTCTTTACGTCAGCATTAAAATCACCTGTAGTTATTACCCTCGACCCTTCCATATGCTTCACTTAAATAAGTAAACGTATTATAGTGAATATCTAAGAATTAAAGATCACTAATATGGATATCATATTCATTTCAGAAACTGATCAATTCTCTGCCAAATCGTTTCTTTACGTCAGCATTAAAATCACCTGTAATTATCACCCTCGACCCTTCCATATGCTTCACTTAAATAAGCAAACGTATTATAGTGAATATCTAAGAATTAAAGATCACTAATATGGATATCATATTCATTTCAGAAACTGATCAATTCTCTGCCAAATCGTTTCTTTACGTCAGCATTAAAATCACCTGTAATTATCACCCTCGACCCTTCGAACTCTTAATTGATGGACTGTATTTTTCCCAAATGCTCCATATATTCCTCAAAGTTATTATCACAATCCCAAGACATATACACACAAAGTAGAAGAGTTCTGTGTTTACCTTTCCTTAGTTCGATTCCAATTATTCTGGCATCATAAACATTAATGGGCGTACATATAATATAAGCAAACTTTTGCTTATACATGATGGATACTCCACCAATTGGCCTAAGCTAATTTTATGCCCGCGAATCTCGCGAATTGGACATTTTAGGCACATTCAGGGTTGAAAAGGAATTTCCCTTTACCCTACCTCAATTTTCCCAGAGGGGGGAAACATGGGGAAAGGTTTTCCACATGGGGGCTTTTCCCTCATGCCCCTCTCCCGCTGGTTACGCCACTAGGTATAAGTTAATTGAGCACATAATAGTCCAAACTAAAAGATAAAGAACTTTTAAGATAGATAGTTTTAGCATTGCTCCATTCTAAAATGTGAAGAAAAAAACTACATTAATAATTTTTTGCATGTGTATTGACGGTAAAATAACATGGTTGTAATAAATAAAACCCTAATGAAAATGTTTATATTTAGTTTCAAACACACGTGTGTAGGCTTAATATTATATATTCAGTTAAAGGCATGTCGTCTTGTCTTCTATATTACTTATTATCATATATTACAAGCGGGAAAATGATTACCTTTGCCCTTTTGACCCAAGACCCATGTTACGCTTCCTCCAAGACCTTAATATTGTCGACTGGACGAATCTGGCTAATCTTGTCGATATTAATGAAATATGGTCTAAATGGAAAGCATTGTTTACGCATGTCCTCGATAAACATTATGTAATTAAGATGTTTAGACGTAGAATAAGCATCTTCCGTGGATTAATTCCGAAATTAGGTTTCGAATCAGATACAGCAAGTGAATTTTTCTGGAAAACAAGAAAGACAAAAAGTGAAAGCGATTGATTAAAATATAAAGAAATTAGTAATATGGTCATTCCATTAAGGGGGTGTGGCTATAATGTATGGGAAATGTTATCATGAGGTTATAAAACATATTAACTTGAATGACAATAGGTTGTTGGCTATTGAAAGAGGTGAGGGCATAAACACAACTTTGCTTGTGAATTCTTACTTACCTTATGATTCTGTAAATGAGGACAGCCTTATTGAATTTGTATACTATCTGAGTAAATTACTTGATGTTATTGATGATTTTGGGGGTGATAAGTTCATTGTGGTTGGTAATTATAATGCTGACCCAAGGAAAACATTTGGAAAAGAATTGATTAACTTTTGCTCTGAATATGACATTCGAATATCTGATATTGAGTACCTTGGCCTGAATTCTAACTCATTCACCTTTTAAGTGATGCTCATGGTACTACCAGTTGGCTGGGTCATGTTTTGGCTACTCAAGTTTCCCACACTAGAATGAGTGAAATGTGTATTTGTTATGATTATATTTGGTCTGACCACTTCCCGGTTGTGTTTGATTATCGTCTTGACGAATTTGTGTGTTCAGTCTCAGTGAATGAAAACGATAACCATAGTAAAGAGGGTAGGTTCAGTGAACTGGTGTGTAGCTAGTGAAGATGAGAAAGACACATATTATTCTTTTACAGAACTTATGTCTTACAAAATCCAAGTTAATCGTGATATATTGCATTGTATTAATAATAACTGTGATGATTATTTACATATTGATTCTATTAAAGAATTATATAATAGTATACTAGAGTGTGTCAAGGAAAAGGAAAGTTCTTTTTTAATTTCATAAGTCAAAAAGTAAGAGCAAGCATTGTAAAGTGAATATAGTACCTGGGTGGAATGAGCGGGTCTCTGACTTAAAATAGCTAAAGAAGCGTTTCTTCTGTGGCGTGATAATGGCCGGCCCCGTTTTGGGCCTCTTTATGAGGCCATGAGAACATCTAGATCCCAGTTTAAAATGGCTTTTAGGCAATGTAAGCGTGACGAAGAAAAGTTGCGTTGTGACTCTATGGCTGAATCTCTGTCTACTAACAATTCATAGCCGTCGAAAGCATTTTGGAAGTGGTCCGGCCATTCGGGGGTGGGGGTCGGGGAAGGGGTGGTTTGGGGTCCGGATGTCCTTCCTCGCAAAATTTAGTTTCTGTTGTTGATGCCCGGAAATGCGCTCTCCTGCATTTTTACAACAATCAAATATAGGCATATTTGAATAATTTAATCTTATTTAATTAATTTTTTATTCTTTAGACATTTTTAAATTTACATATTTCGTAGTGTAATTTTTACGTGTGTTAATTATAATTATGAAATTCTGTATAATATCTGTCTCTTATACACATCTAGATGTGTATAAGAGACAGACATTGTACAGTCTTATTTCGATAAGTGTACAAACTGAAATCCCATTACAAAGGTTACGATATAAAAGATATTTGATGTACACATTATTACGTAGGTTTGATACTTAATTTTCTTTTTTTTTATTTATTTATTTATTTTTTTTTTTTTTGTTTTTTTTTGGACAAAAGGTGGTCCGGCCATAGCCGGTGCTGCCGGTTCCGACGGCCCTGCAATTACATTAAGTTCTGGGAAAGGGTTAAGGAAATCAATGGAAGCCCTCTTAAACAATCCAATGTAATTGGTGATGCTAAGGGGGATAAGGAAATTTGTAATCTGTAGTCTGATCATTATACGGAGTTATTTAATTGCGTTTCTACTTCCAGATATAAAGATCTGGTTATTGAAGCATTAAATTGTCCTATTGACAATAGTAATGAAGTGTTCATTTCATCTTAAACTGTAAAGAATTGCATTGACAAGCTGTCACCTTTTTAAATCTGCAGGTTTTGACGATGTTTTGACTGAGCACTTTAAATTGTGTAGTGAGAGGATTCATTTTCTTCTCAGTTTATGTTTTAGCTTAATGCTAAGGCATAGTTATGTGACTCCCGAAATGACTAAGGTTATACTTGTTCCAATAATTAAGTCCAAGTCTGGTGATATCACCGACGAAGGTAATTATCGTCCTATAGCTTTAGCCACTGTTGCATCAAAGATATTTGAACTTGTGTTAATTGAAATATCATGCAACTCTCTTTCATCTGGTGACCAAGTTACAGTTTGCCTTTAAATATGTGAACTCCACAGATACATGTATTTTTGTCTTCAAATAGATTGTTGATTTTTATATGCGAAATGGTAGCCCAGTGTATACATGTTTTTTAGATGCTAACAAGGCGTTTGACTGTATTATTCTTTTTACGTTGTTCAAAAAATTAATTGATAGAGGCACTCCTAATTTTGTAATTAGAGTGTTAAGACATTGGTATATGACTCATGAATTTATGGTAAGGTGGGGAGATACAATATCTATGGGTTTTGGTGTGAAAAAGGGGGTCCGTCAAGGTTGTATGATGTCACCATTACTTTACAATATCTATGTGGATGATCTAAATGTTCGTCTGAATAATGTTAATGCTGGTTGTTAGCTGAAAGATACCAAATTTAATTGTCTCTGCTATGCAGATGACATGGTTCTTCTGGCTTCTTCTTGTTATGGGTTACAACGCCTTGTTAATGTCTGTGAGAATTTTGTTGAAGATCATGATGTCATTTACAACACAACAAAATCTGTTTGCATGCTTTTCTGTCCAATTGTACGTAAAGTATCTGGCTCTCCAGTTACCCGTCTGATTGCTTCTCCTCTCAATTACTGTGATAGCGTTACATATCTTGGCCATATACTTACCGATACTCTAAATGTTGAGCTAGATATTAAGCGCCAGTACAGATCTCCATGCATAAGAGGGAATTTAGTAATTGTTCTGACAGGGTTAAATGTCTCCTTTTGAAATCGTACTGTGTGAATATGTATCTTCCATCGTTATGGGCCAAGTTTACTCTAAGTTTCAAAGTTCTCTAAACTCACTGCGTGTATGTTACAACAATGCATTGCGCATAGTACTTAAACAACCTAGACACTGTGGCGCCAGCCTGATGTTTGTTGGCAACTCCGTTCCTTCATTTTATGAGTATTTGAGTAAGTCAGTATATAGCTTCATTAATAGAATTGAAAAATGCGTTAACAGTCCTGTATCTTGTGTCATGGGTAATGCTGAATGTTTTACTATGTTAATTAATTACCCAAACCCAGGGTTGCTTTGTTTGGGGTATGGGGGCTTTGGCCCTAACACTTCAACGATCCTACCCTGGGATGCTTTGTTGGGGGTATGCGGGCTTCGGCCTTAGGATTTAACGCTCATACCCCTGGATGCATAGTATGGGGTATGCGGGCTGCGGCCTTAGGATTTAACGTTCCTACCCCGGGATGCATAGTTTTTTGGGTATGCGGGCTTCGGCCTTAGGATTTGACGTTCCTACCCTGGGATGTATAGTTTGGGGTATGCAGGCTGCGGGCAGCCTTAGGAATTGACGTTCCTACCCGGGTTGAATAGTCTTGGGTATGTGGGCTTCGGCCTTAAGATTTAACGCTCCATCCCCGGGTTGCATAGTTTCGGGTATGCGGGCTTCGGTCATAAGATTTAACGTTTCTACCCCGGGATGCATAGTTTGGGGTATGCAGGCTTCGGCCTTAGGTACCTGAACGAGCCTACCCCGGGTTACACAGTTCGATTAAATTTGACAGTGTTGTTTAATTTGTTGATGATGTTTTCGTTTAATTAAGTTTGGGAATCACATTTTCATTTTTTTGCTTCTGCATGTGTCAGTATTTAACTTGAGAATTTAACTTTAAAGAACCCAGTACATCATTCGAGTTGAGTAGGGGGTTACCCCGGTGTACTGGTTCATCCGGCCCCTGTCGTGGACTGTTTTATGTGAACTGGGCCCTCTGGGAGAACAGAAATTTGTTACTGAGGAGGAAACCCAGTATAAAGAACAAATAATTAAATAATAAATAAATGCTTTTGTGTACAGCAGATACAGCAAATTGTGTTTATCTACTTTTTCTTGTGCTCTTGATCGCCTTGTACTGTTGTTGTTGTTCTATCGATTTGTAATTCTTAAATAAAAAATGATTGAATGAATAAATGAAAGTGATTACTCTCGGGCATTACTCTCAAAATCATTAAAACATGGGTTTCTGATACCACTTAAAATTTAATACAAAAAAACAAAACAAAACCATATTCCATGTTTTTTTGCAACGACAAATTCCGTAGCGAGATCCATCTAATCATCAATAATAATTCAGCTCTTGAAGTTAAGTCCTCATCTATACTGCTTGGGTTTATCATAGTCGAAAAACTAAATTTCTAAAAACACGATCATTATGTCAGCATGAAATCTAGAGTGACTCTTAGAAGTCTGTGTCATTTGGGTTTCCTCCCACTTGATGTTAGTATCATTATGTTCAACAGTCATGCTCGTCCTTATTTAGAATACTGTAGTGTAGTTTGGTTCAAGACTTTTCATTTCATTTCAATCCTTTACATATTATTTTCAATAGAGGGATTAGGGTTATCAAACGGTTAGGACCCAGAACTTCAAATCGAGAACCGCTGTGGGAACTTAGTTAAATGGACCTTCTTTCCACATCTTTTCACCTTTGTACAATACGCAAATCATCTCTGACTCACCTATATGTACTTTCCTTTCAAATTTATTTCCTTTTTTTTTGTATCATTAGTACTACTTTTTACAATTTAACTTAAAAATGGATATCTTAATAAACTGTATAATGTTATGAGAGTTAAAAATCTTTATAAATATTTTAATAAAAATAATAATTTTGTATCCAAATTTTGTTATAATTTACAATCCGTAATAAAATATTGTAGTATTTACTTCTATTTATGACTTCTTTTTTTTTACCTTTTCAATGTATATCTCTTCAATGTATATCTGTTCAAACATTCCTAACCATCAATCAGCACATTTTGTATTACTTTCCATTTCCTTTTACCTTTTACTTTGTCGATATATAAGTTAATTATGAATATGATGTGATGTTTAAAGGCACATCATAGATCAGTAAATCTTGATTTTTCTTTATGCACACAATTTTTTTTATGAATGGTAAAAGCTGCAGCAGTGTAAATATAATCTACAATTACATTTTCTGTTCCAAGAACAAGTTGCTTAAATTAAAGGATATATCTTCTTGCGCAATTACATCTTAAAGATGTATTATCCCTTGCTAATTTTAAAAAATCATAAAAAAAATTTGAAATAACCTTGGTCATATTGCAAAAGCATATAAATTAATAACTTGTGCATAAAAATTATTGAAATTAAAAAATGTGTACCCTGATTTTTAAACCAAAAATTATAATAAAAATAATAAAACACTTCGAGTGACTGGAAGTGTTTCTATCATTTTGCGCTGTAAACTGATGTGTAGACATTTTTTAAATACACTAATTTCTATTTTCAAGTTGATAACTTTTATGTTACTTCAAAATGGGCAAGTAAATTTTCAAAAAATATTTTTCTGATTTTTTTGGGTATTTAGCATGGGACAATACATCTTTAATATATTTGTATAACAAAAACCTTGTTTACTAAACATGCATATACATTTTTTGTTTTAATATGTTTTGAAATTTTTATTATTATTTATGTTACTTTCATAGTTAAAAATGTCTGTGTTTTTAATTATATATTTCCATTGGTCTGGTATAATTGCTTTCATTATTTATTTAGCAAATTTAATTTGCGTCGTAATTTTAATAATTCGTCGGAACGTATACATGTTATTTACAAGATCCTTAACGAACACTATATCACATTTAATCCAGTGTTTGTATAACAATGACTTCTTGTTTAGTTGGATTAAGTGATTACTCAACAATTGTTTACTCATAATTTCCTCATGTTTGAATATCCTTTTGATTTGATTTGTTATATTTAATACAAGCTTGTAGTACATTTTTATAAAATATTGGCATATCATACTTAACATTAATATTGTCTAGACACGTCATGTTAAAAATAACCTTTTCAGGACCTACTTTTTGAATAATAAAAAATTTGAGAATACATTTCCACCACTTGGCATCATCATTATATAAAATGTGTTTTACTTAAAAAAACGCTTTTATTCTTTGGCTCCTCCGCTGATTCTTATTTGTAAAAGAACCTCTATCACCTCTAGGGCTGGGAAGGGATTATACATTATTTACTCCTATAAGACACCTCTCGATATTTTAAAGGTTTTGTATACTCTTTGCAATAATTCGACAGCAAATTAACACACTGCTTTTATATTATTTTTAATTTCGAAATTATTATAAAATACTATAGATACTTACGCATACGAACTTGCTATTATCTCTTTTATCTTTAAGAAAGTTTTCATTTTAAACTCTTTGGAATAGAGGAGAGTACATTTCTGAATGTCTACAAAACATTTAACATTCCCTCTCTCCGTCTCGGTTAATAATTTCCTAGCGATATGTTGCTCTTACAGCCCGATCACTTACAAAAAGTCTCCAACTATGGAGCTATGTGCACTTTAAAAACTCTATATTACTTGAATTAACTCCCCTAATAAAAAAATATATATATATATTATTTTTTATTGACTATTTAAAACAGAAAAAGTAAAATAATGGTATCTAAAGCCGGAATGACAAAGAGTTTACATTGAAAATGAAACTGTCATAATAGCATTGCCACTTGTAATTTGTAATTCAAGGTACATTATTGTTGGTGTTTTTTTTAATTTTTTTAGGTAATAGATGTTTCTTACAGTGTAAAGGTTGGTTGAAACAGTTGTTTATAATTTTCATATTTCACTCTATAAGTGTTTTTTTTTTTAATTATGTTTAACATAAGCTGCTTAAAGATGTATTGTCCCATGGTAAATATAAAAAAAAGTCATAAAAATATTTTGTTATGATTTCTTGACATTAGCAAGGGACAATACATCTTTAACAATTATCAGTGTCGATGAATGCATGGATTCTATGACTCAATGCTTTTTCTGTACGGCAGCCAAACACATATAAATTGTTTAAAACTGTTTTGTGATATCTGGCTAATAAATATTATCAAATATTATCAATGTGGATAAATATAAATTCAAATAATAAGCAAGATCATTTCGTAACTTACTTAATTTTCATACATTTGTTATTTTTTTCTAGATTCGAAGTGTTACGAATTGTGTACAGGTTAGTTGCAATATCTCTGTAGCAAGTATCTGGGTTTAGCCTAGAATGTTTAATTTAAAAATATACAATTATAGTTTATTGTTAGGTAGGTCATTAAAATAGCTTATTGCAAGATAAAAAATACTAATAAATCTACTCGACATAAAAAAGACTGTACCGCTTATAGTTGCCTAGTTATAGGTTCACATTATGTAAACTACAATAAGTATTTTCAGTATCTTTCAAAACACCAACAAACAATTATAAAAAAATGTATGTATGTATGTATGTATGTATGTATGTATGTATGTATCAGGGCCGGCGCGCTAAACATATTTTTAAAAACAACATAAATATTAAAACAGATTCATTATTATGCTTAAAAGTAAAATACATTTATTATAGATTTATTAGGCTCCCTCTATCGATTTAAACCAGACGAGTTTAACGTTATGGACAATTACTGTGTAGGCCTAACCTAACTTTTTGAGTAGTCAGTTTCATAGTTGACGACGTCTGACAATTTGACGTAAAAAATTCAAAACGCTTTAAGCCGTTATTTCGCACTAATGGGATTTAACAATTTAAAGTTATTGACATCTCACACATTCTGTGTTAGATATTTATATTCACTTATGTGTATATAAACCATGATATATGGAAATAAATGTCACTCTGTTTATCATAATAAACAAAAAATCATGATTTATAGCGACATTTTTAACATTTAAGGCCCGCCCACCTCACAATGTTTATATTGTCATGTGACACTATGAGACACTATCAGACTTGTCACTCCCATAATTATCTTGAAGTTCTGTTTGAAATTAGATTCGTCTACTTAAGGTTACTGTTATGCGTTACGTAGAAACAATTGTGTTCAAAACAACCCATTTAGATTGTGTTAGTTTCCATCCATTTCCAACTGGAACGATCTAGAGGAAAACTGGATTCAGGCTGTCGGTATTTAAAGGGCAGACTGGCAGGTCACCACCGATTTTTTCCCATTGGGCGTTTGATAGTAATAATAATAATAATATTAATAAATATCAATTAAAACTTTATATCTCTGGATATTAAGGCAGAAAACCAAAGAACTTACGTTTTGAGCTTTCGACTATCACTGTAGTCTTGTCCACAATAACACACAATGGAAATTGCGTCATAGGGATTGTGACGTCAGCGGTGAGGCTGGGTGGGCCTAATCCCCTCCACCATTGGCGTACTCCAATTACTTAACAATCTGGAACCAAGCAAGGCTTCAGGCCCAGACAAAATCAGCCCAAGAGTTCTCAAGGAATTGAGGGATGTCCTCGCCAATCCTCTTACCATAATATTTAGGAAGTCACTTCGTGAGGGCAGTGAACCACAGGACTGGAAAAAAGCAAACATCACTCCAATTTTTTAAAAAAGTCAAAAATACAATCCTGCAAACTACCGTCCAATCATTCTTACCTGCATAGCTTCTAAAATCATGGAGCATTATTATCTACAGTAACATAATGACCTATGCTAGCCGTCACAATATCCTCTACAGTCTCCAGCACGGTTTCCGCAGTAAAAGAACCTGTGAAACTCAGCTTCTGGAATTCATACATGACATTGTTACCAACATGAAAGATGGGTACCAATCAGATGTATGCCTATTAGATTTTTCAAAAGCCTTTGACAAGGTCGGCCATCTTAGACTTGTTGAAAGGCTTCGTTGGTATGGAATCAATGGTCAAACTAACAATTGGATTAAAAACTTCTTCAGCGGCAGGAACTAATCAGTGTGATTGACGGTGTTTCCTCCAGCAGCGTTCGGTTAGTTCTGGTGTACCACAAGGCTCTATCTTAGGACCATGTCTTTTCCTCTTCTTCATCAATGCCATAGCAAAAAACCTAACATCCTGTACACGTTTATTTGCTGAATATACCTTAATTTACATGACGGTAAGCAGCGAAGGGTACTCCAAGCTGATGCAGAAAGATCTAGATACTTTATCACTGTGGGAGAAAAACTGGATGATGGAATTCCACCCAAAAAATGCCAAGTTATTAGTATCACAAGAATGAAAAATATCACATATTATCCATATACTCTCCACGGTCATCAACTTTTTCATGTAGATCATGCCAAGTACCTAGGAATAACAATTACCAAAGATCTGAGATGGAACAAGCACATAGACAGCACCACAGTTAAAGCAAACAATACACTAAATTTCCTCAGACGTAACATAAATATTAATAACCAAAAAGTAAAAGAACAAGCTTACAAGTCACTTGTCCGACCAATTTTGGAATACGGAAGTGTTGTTTGGGATCCCAAAACAGACGTTCTTAAAAGAAAAATAGAAAAGATTCAACGCCGTGCTGCTAGGTTCACCCTTAACAGATATGAACGTACAGCTAGTGTCAATACCATGATCCACGAACTATCATGGAAAACTCTGGCTGGAAGGCGCCAACTTTCAAGATTAGCAATGTTCTACAAAATCCACAATAATTTTGTTGCAATTGATATGAGCAAATACTTAATCTCAAAAAATTATACATCTCCATCTCGCACAGAAAACAGCCAGACGTATTCCTCATTCAAGTCGGGACTATAACAAGATGTCATTCTTTCCTCGGACATCTAGGAAATGGAACATAATAGCAGAATCTACTGTCAAAGCACCAACTATTGAAGTTTTTAAGGGGCCCTTGGCAAAAATTAATCTCACTCGCACCACCACATACCACTAAAGTGCTATAGCCTTCATAATTGAAGTTTGCACTAATCTGGAAGAAGAAGAAGATTCTTTTTCTGGTAGCTTGCACGCTATTCGTCTTCGCTTTCTGTCAATAATTCTACGTCCGCATTGATTG